TGAAACCAGGCAGCACGTGGTTAAATTAGTTACTATTGACTACATCATGGCAAACGATAAATTAGCAAAACTCTTTACAGACTGTAAAAGCTTATAGAGCTACGATATAGAGAGTGATCACTTCGCACTTCTTGGAAAGCTAAAATTATTGAAGAGATGGGTTAAAATCAAAAACCAGCCAAACCTGCCCTACCCAAAAAACCTGGAAAAAGTATATCGACAAATATAAAGAATCTGTCAAATTGATCGTACCAACGTCTGAAACCCAACATAATAAAAACCAATTGAAATTAGTAATAATGCTGCGAAAGAAGAGGCGAGGAATTTGAAAACTATAATTGAAAGTAACAGCATACGAAACACTAGGCTCTACTTCAAAAGAGAACGAAGAAGAAGGGCTTAAAATTATGGAAGTGAAGAAATCCGGAAGAAAGCTGTTAATGAGGAAAAAGAAACATATCATGAGATATCTTATCTAAGTAAATCCTCACAAAACTAAAGAAGCGAATACACCACAATTTCCAACCACGCTCAGGTAACCTAACAAGAAAGCCCAACAGGATTCATGAGATAAATATTATAGCTGATAGCGGTAAAAATGACATACATGGCACGCGCAGAAAACAGCATTTAAATTTATGCAGAACACCCTTAACAGACAGAGAAGAACATAGCAAGAAATATACAAACTAATTAAGCCAGATGGAATGGCTTCCTTACTACAAGAACTTATAATAAATAAGAAGCGAGGATAAGAATGAGAAGGAAGACAAATGAAATCTCTTCTCTGTTTGGAGGGACCAAAATTAAGCGGCGTAACAGGCATTATGCCTAAATACTTGAAGATAAGAAGAAGAAGATGAAGAAGAATAAGAAGAAGAATTTAGGAGCATACGTCACATTGTAGGGGAATTGTTTGGGGGACGTATTGTTTAGGGAAATATCGTCGCTAGTCTTTCGCGATGATATAGAAAAATAAAATTGGCTATTTGCATCGACCCTGGGCCACGTCTCAAATTTCTCTATTCAAAAATGTATAAAACAAAGAATATATTTTTAATTAATTTTTCTTTTGTGTATACGTAGGTATATGCAGAGCAATATTCGTAGTATAAG